TCGTCTCTCATAGGCGCCTGCTTTGCCGACGGCATAGCCCAGTGAGTTTTTCCCAAGTCAAAGCCAAGGTTTATTTTTTAATTCCGCCTTTCCGGCTCCGTAATAATTACGTGCAAATACTTAAATAATTTACATTAATTATTTCCGACATTAATAATTAATAATTTTTTTTGTTATTACGTATTATAATTAATAAATTAATCTTCCAATTTAGACAAGCTCCACTTCCGAGCCACGGAATATATATATAGACATCTCTGCTTCCTACTCCACCACGATCACGGACATTCCGGTCTACGTTCTGGTTCCCGACTCTGCTTTCCACTTCGAATCAGGCATCCTTCGCCTGCAGCAGCTGTCGCCGTGTCTCTTTTCCGTCCTTATTGAGTTTTCTTTGCGCCTCCCGACTCACGCTGTGCGTTTCCAAAATGGCTCAAAATGCAGTGGACATCGCCTTAAGAAAGTTTATTGCAACGACAGCCCGTGTTAGCCAATTCAAAGGTAACATTCACACTCCGAGCGGTCCTGACATTGAGAGATTTGGTAAAAGGTGGAGAAGAGCTATGAAAGCTGCTCCGATCTTCTTTCCGTGTCCGCCGACAGTACCGCCACCTCGTCAGTCCTCGAATCCAAGTACAACGACTGCTACTCCATCTATTCGAGGTGTGTTGTCCAACTTCAGGACATACTTGACAAGGCCGCCTCCCAGGCTAATCAGGCTTCCGTCAGTGTCCAACCACTTCTTTCTACGGGTTGTCGCCTGCCACCAGTGGACACCGAGGTCTTCACAGGCGAATATCTTCAATGGCCCACCTTCCGGGACCTCTTCACGGCGATTTACATTAATAATTCCCGACTTACGCCAGTGGAGAGGTTGTTCCACCTACTTTCGAAGACAAGCGGCGATGCGCATGCAATCGTTTCAAAGGCCCCTCTGACCAACGAGGGTTTCGTCTCAGCATGGAGAAGCCTTTCCGACCGCTTTGAAAATAAGCGATTGTTAGTCAACAGTCAGTTAATGATTCTTTTTAACATCCAGGCTGTTCCTCAAGAATCCGGAGTCGCTCTAAGAGAACTGCAAGGCACAATTCGAAGTTGATTGACCGCCTTACAAATGTCCTCCATTGAAGTCGAGGCGTGGGACTGCCATCTTGTGTTTATGGTCTCCTCAAAGCTTCCCAAAATTACGCTTTCCTTGTGGGAGCAATCAATTCGCAATAAAGCCGAAATTCCAACCTGGAAGGAGTTGGACGCATTTCTAACTGAGCGCCATATCACTTTGGAGGCCATCGACGACGTCAGGCCTAGCGGCTCTGGGCATCTTCAGCCAAAGTCATCAAATGCTAATCCACCGGTGCGTAGGCTCAATTCACACGAAGTTAGGGTGGCTCCAACACCGAGAAGGTGTAATCCATGTGCCAGAGAGGACCACCCTATCCGTATATGTCCGTTTTTCCTGGACATGAATGTCAATGAGCGGACAGACCTCATCCCAAGAAAGCAACTCTGCTTAAATTGTTTTTCGCGAGGGCACCAGCAACGGGACTGTACTAGTGCCCATTCCTGCTTTACGTGCCACAGCCGGCATCACACTCTGCTGCACCGCGACAATCCTACTACTAGCGTTCCAAGACCCTCCGCTCCATTTAGTCCTCGACCTGCACCCATCCAACGGATTTCCTCGTTCTCCACAAGAGTGACCACTTCTGCCGATTCCTCCAATTACTGGGTTCCGTACGACGACAGCAAGAGCAGACGTTCCCGCGGTATTTTATCCTACCAATTACGAGTCTGCCAAGGGAACCATCCGCTCCGGAAATGCCAACAGTTCCTCAAACTCTGCTCTGAGAAGAGGCTCCGAGCGGTTCTCGACCACCGCTATTGTTCCAACTGTTTGGCCCACGAACATTCCGAGGGAACCTGCCGCAGCGGTGACCGATGCAAGACGTGCAATCAGCACCACCACACTCTCCTGCATCCTCATGACCGTCCAGAGCATCCGCTCCGCTCGCAGCATCGGTCACCCCCATACTTCTAGTTCGCACATTATTGACCATTACTCATCTCCATGTCATCCAGATCACTTACGAGGGCTTCACTTCCACACACCGCGATCGCTCTGGAAGGCAGACGTACTCGAGGTTCTTAGTCCTACCATTGCCGAGTCTGCCAACGTTCGTCCGCTACGGAAAGTTCGACGTCTTCTAGCGCACAGTGATGCATCCTGGTCACGGCATTCGACGCCTCCGCCTTGTTCAGCAAACTCCTTGCGACAAGCTCCCGCCTCTCCATGGCAATCAGCCGCCTTTCCTTGGCACTCATCCGTCCTTCATCGCTACTCGTCGCTCCAGCATCAACGATCTACGCAGCGCTCTGACGCCCCTCCATACCATCGTCCTGTACGGTGTTTTTGCAACCCGAGTGATTGCAAGGGGGGAGAATGTTTACGCCAGAAGGCCCCTGCTCCCCCTCTGCCCACCGAGCGTCCAAAAGCTCAAGCGCTCCCAGCTTAGCAGCGCTCGCCCGCTCTCCGCTCCTCGGTACTCCCGATCGCACGCTCCCGTGTTCCCGATCGTCGCTCGCTTCTAGGGACCGCCGTTAAGCTGGGCTTCTCGGTCGGCAGCGGGCCTTAGGCTAAGCTCAAGTTTTAGTACCAAATCGAATGCGAAAATATATGTTGCTTCGGGCACTCCGCCGATGACATTTTCGACTACCGATTTTTCTGCGTTTTTCTACTTCGTGGGATAAACTTTTATTGATCCTTTTGCGGAGGATTTTCCAGCCATCCCCCTCCTGAACACTAATTTTTATTACCCCCATTTAGGTTCAAATAGAAGACAATTTCATGGTGATCATAATAATTTTTGATTCACTCCGATATGTTACATAGTTTTTTGTGAATCGTGTCCATAGCATAGGTAGAAATGCAAAAATTAGAAGCTGAGAAAACGACGTTTAAAGTTTTTGATGCGCCCACGTTTACACTTGTACACCTTGCTTGCAAACTTGATTTGAGGCACTTAAAATTTGAATTCGATAATGAAACTTACACAGTATATTCTTTAAGTAATAAACTATTTTTTAAACTTAAAAAAAATTTGCCCAAAACATTTTTATAATGTATATCCCCCTTAAATCTGTAATATGTGGTATATCCACAGGTTTATCAAAATTGTTTGGTTCATCTTGGGAACACTATTCCAATTTCAAGTTTGGAATGGCTTCCTTTTTTAAGTATCGCTCTCCAATGAATGGATCTGAAGAATGGTTGGTTGTCATAATCTTTATGCCCAATATTGCATTTTTTCCTCCATATCTATCCCAAAATTAAATCTGAAGACGAAAATCAACAAAATTTTAAATAAGGAAAATGCCGCCTAGATTTCTTGCACTTTAAAATGCAACATTTTATGCCAGATTCGAATTCTTTGTCGCTCTTTGGAGCTCATTATTGCAGTCGATTTTACTTCTTTTGCATCGATGTCAAATCTTCCGCAGTCGAGCGCGCACTGAATAAAAAACCAAAAGGAAAAAGGAGAAACTTCATTTTCGTGTTACCAGTTGTCGATATTTGTTTGTGTTTTTAAAATAGTACATGTTGTATGAATTTGTTTTCGTTTTGTCTTTAAATATAGCGTTAGATCAATGTTTTTAATTTAAATATAGTCGAATAAACTGATAATAAAATATAACTACAAATATTTTAAATGTTTTGAATTTATAAGCCCAGAGCGAAGAAACATATTAATTCAGTAAAAATTCTTAAGCTTCAAAACTTTCTTCAATATTGTAATAAATAAAATAATATATACAAAAATTTTGTATTATTAATTGTAAACTCCCAGGTTCTTTATTATTAATATTTCCAACAGATGGCTTTTATTTAACACAAATTCTTCTGCGATCCAAAACACGTTTTTCTTCCTTTTTAACAAGATCCAAAGTGACCGTCCCTACATTTTTACAAAATCTAACTTCAGTCTACGATTGGTCTCTTATCGATAGCTCTACAATAGCTGGTCACACTAAGGCGCGCCAAAATAAAAATCAGGTGTTTACATAATACAAGAAAAAAAAAACACGATACTAAAAACAACATCATTGTCAGGGATCGATCCACTCATTATTATTGCCGACCAACGCTTTAACCAGCACGACCATAGCACCGATTAAAGGCGTGATGCACAAAAACCATTATGACTTTGAAAGCTTTTTAACTCTTGCTCTAGCAAAGCCAAATATAAAATTTCGTATCAAAATGTGTCGTCGCGTTCACGCACACATACACACAAAACCCACTTACACTTATGCATTGTGTGCGTAATAAACAAGAAAAATCATTCCCCGTTTCCCCTCGCCAACAAGCGTAGCGCAGCAAAGCATTGCAGATACGCTCTCTATATAACTTTGTTTTGTATGTTTTTTTTGTATTAAAATTTCTAATGTGTATTATATTAGATGTTTAAAACTAAAATATAGTTTTTTTATACGATTAAACTTGTTTTTTTAATTTTCTCAAAACGAAATTATTATATGCTATGAATAAATATACAACTTTTATATCTTTCTTTTAATTTTGTTGTATTAATTTGACCAGAATGGATCGATTCTTAACGATACAATTGCAAACTGCAAGGGTATACAAACTTCGGCGTGCAGAAGTTAGCTTTCTTTCTTGTTGTTGTAATGATTTCTTTTATTTTTGGTCTATGGGCGCAACCACTGCCTGAGATTCAATAAGTCCGAATCTAAAGCTCCGACTGTATCACTAATGTTAGAGAAAAAATCGGAGTGGAAGAAATTTGTATATGTAGGCATTAATGCCTTTTATATAATATAGGCGTAAAAAACGTATAAGGAGTACGTGGTTGATTAGCGGGATAGAACAGTTTTCTATCCACTACCAGATAACCAATTTAGGTCATCAGATAGGCGGGGGGAGGCAATATATCATATTTTATAAAATTAATAAAACAAAAAATATAAACTTAATATATATGTAAGTATATATATTCACATTTTATTTTTATTTAAATTCATAAATATACATATATGCGTACTAAACAAAAGAAGTTTTCTATAGATTACAAGAATTTATAATATGTTGTTTTAAGGAATCGGTCGTAATAGTAAAATTATAGACTTTGCAAAGGTTGCAAGCATTTTTTGTACATACATTAAATATTTTTTTATGTTAACCGAATATATTTAACAATAAACTGGAGATGTTTACTTTGTATGTTAATGTAAGTATTTAAACAATATATTCTATACATATCATATTTATTAAATTTTTGATTAGTATTTATAACCTGGTTTAGCTTAAGTTAAACTCCATTTTTTTAAGTTTTAAAATATAAACAAAAAATACAAATCCACAGCGTAAGTGTAAACCTCACATCAAAATAAATTATTGACTAATACATTTAAATTTCAAATTCTTATTATATATCTTGTAAATGGATAAATGTGATATTTTAGCCCATTTGTCTATTTTGGCGTTTACTTGTACATATCTTATAAAATAATTTAGAAAACATACGCTCACGTAAATTCTTCATTGCTGTTTTCATCATCAGATGATTCGATTTTCTTTCGTTTCCTTTTACCGCGTACTTGATATGGCTTGCGAACACTTGGTTTCGCAAGTGAACTCGTTGATTTCACAATTTGAGGTATGGGAACATCAGGAGCTTCCTACGAAAAATAATTTTTGATACAATAATATTAATACATAGCAAGCGAGTAAGAAAGATACAGTCGAGTGTGCTCGACGTATTTCTTTTGACTTTTTCATTCGTAGTTGTTTTTAAATAGAAATTTACGACGCAGTGTCCGTCCGTCTGTCAGTCCGTCTCTCCGTTTCTACGCTAACTAGTCTCTCAGTTTTAAAGCTATCTGAATGAAACTTTGCTTATAGTCTTCCGAGTACTCTCACTGGTATATATGTCGGAACGGGCAGGTTCGAACGACTATATCATATATCTGCCATACAAATGATCGACAAATTTTTAGAAAAAAAAAGTCAGATTTTCATAAAACGTATACCAAAATTCTGATATAATAAAAACTGGCCATATCTCAATGAAAAGCTACGAAGTTATAATATTTTCCACTTAATTCCCGATCGTTCCTGTGGCAGCTATAAGATATAGTCGTTCGATTTTTTTGAGAGATTTTATAAGTGAGTTTGCGATCAGCTTATTTTCCAATAGAAATTTGTGCTAAAATATTTAGTTGCTTTATGTTGTGTCACACGCGTTAAAAAAGGTCTAAAAAATTCAACCAAAATATGCAAAATAATCTTCAAGGTATGCACTATTTCATGAATATTGTTATTGTAGGTGAAGTTATAGGGTTTTAGTATTGTGTAATTTCCAATTGAGGTGTATTTTTTTAGAAAACTAACATGCGTTTTCCGTGTTTCGTGGAATATAACTTATAAGCTATTCCATGTTGAAAGCAACTAATGGGTCCAGATTGGACTCGTGGGTGTTGTCTTTAACCACAAACCAAAAACTCATCCGCGTTCGTCACCATTTTCTAACATTTTGGTAATATACATAGTTTAGTCACAACGAACTTTTCACATTCTGGAGCAGCAACAATCAAAAAATTCAGTGTGTAAAAAAAGCGTGGAATCCAAGAATATAAAGGAAATAGATTAAACAAGAAAGGAAGCTAATTTCGGCACGCCGAAGTTTGTATACCCTTGCAGATTGGTTTTTATGTTTATATTATAGATTTAAATGCTGAAAACACTCACAAAACAGAGTTTCATTACATTTTACCTATACTTATTATGTTTACAGTTTGACAATTACAGTTTTACATTCCCAGCTTTATATATTTTATACATTTACCGATCGCTTCTATGGCAGCTATATGATATAGTTGTCAGATTTTTATGAAATTTATACAAAAATTCTAGAATAATAAAATAAGCTTATGTCCCGGAGTAGATGAATATACGTTGAAAAACAACGAATCTATAAATTTTTTTCCATTAATTTCCCGATCGTTCCTATGGCAGCTATATGATATAGTCGTCCGATTTTCATAAAATTTTTACCAAAGTTCAGAAATAATATAAAATAAAAATCATATCTGAAAAATGGTGCAAAAATGTTGAAAAACAGCAAAGTTATAATTTTTTTTTTCTAAAAATATATCGAACATTTGTATGGGAGCTATATGATATAGTCGTCCGATCTGGCCCGGACGACTAAGAAACTATGTAATGTAAATATCGATAAGAAACTGTGCACTCGATATTGTTATCGACCGTGCATGATCGAAGAGGTGCGATCGCTAACCTTGAGAGCGTCAACGAGACAAGAAGTAGAGATGTCAAACTACCGGTATTCGCACCATCGGTAGTTTCGAGTTTTTTTTTGCAAACTATCGATACTATCGCGATAGTACCGACATTAAAAAATTTCTTAAAAAAGGGGATATTCCACTAATAAAAAATTCAAAAAAGTTGAGGGTATACCTTATTAATTTGAAAGAGATTTTTAAGAGTAAAGATATAATATAGTAAAAGTCTTAAAATATATAAAAATAGTCGGACAGTTTTAATTTCTTGTGATATATATATTTTTCTTCCCGTATTTCATTGTTTGGTTTCAAGCTTAATAATAACAAAAATAAAAAAATAACAAAAGATTCATATTTTATATCTTAAAAATGAAATAATATTAAAGCGGTCCTGCCACTATTCAAAAACATTGTATGAGATCAGAGTTAACGTTTAACAGTCAGATATCCACCAATTTTTGTTTTTAAACAACAGTTTATCAACTATTTTTGGTTTCAAATTGGATCTACGATCGGAAATTATTTCTCCTGCCTTCGAAAACATTCTTTCCGACTCGGTTGACGTCGCTGGAACAAAAAAAAAAAAAAAAATTAAATAGAGGCGATACTACCGCGATTGTTTTCAAACTACCGATAGTGGAAGCTGAATCCAAACCATCGGTACTATCGATAGTACCACCGGTAGTTTGACATCTCTAACAAGAAGTATTAAATAAAGTTTTACAAACATATCAGGTGTGGGGTCAAGGCTCGTATAAAATAACACATTCGCTATGAGATACAGTGATATATAGAGAAAGTCGAAATCTGAACTGAAAGCTATCCTAGAGCTAGAAAACGTGTATTTCAGAGAAGCCACAATTTTTCATAATGAAGGATAAAAAATCAATCGAACCGGAGAAGCAAAACCTGGAGGAGCCAAACCTTGAGCATTGGGAGCTGAAGAAGCTGAACCTGGAGGAAACTTCGCGTCGGGTAGTGGAAAATTCGAGATCAAGCGACGACATTGGTGTGGACAATTGCACATGGGCAAGAAGGAGCGATAGTATACCGACAAATGGAGGAGGAGTGCCGGCGTCTGGAGAAGTTATGGAAGTTGCAGGCATGGCGATAGAGACAACCTGATATATAACCATAGAGACAACTTGTTAGAGAGCCGTAGAGCCAACATGTGTGAATGTAGTATCGATGATATTAGATCCGTAAAGATATCCCTGTTGTTATGTTAACGAAACTATAAACAACAAAGGGTAGGGTTATAAGATCGTGGTCGATCTGTAGTCAGGTTGGCCAGATATAAATAGTATAAATCATGTATACATTATTTATTTTGACTTTCATAGCGAACGGTCGTGTTTTTGTTTTGCGCTCCGAATTTTTGTGTATTTTTAGGCATTTAAAACCACCGGGGTTCAGTTTAAATTGTTAAAATACAATACCAAACTTTGCCGTTCTGCTACGCGAGTGCATGTGTCTTTAAGTGTTGAATTAATATATATATATTTTATTAATCACTTTTAGTTTTTGCGTTTTCTTGTCCCCTCTTTGTGCTGTCCCGTTTATTTGCTTGTAGCTGCACTTAAGCGGTTCTAAGCTTTCGTTTGTCCTGTTTATCTGTGCACCGTGGTTGAAGGTTATGTAAAATGGTGTCAAGAAGTTTTGGCAAATCAGCCCAGCCTTTATTGCTGGCTTTGCGATGCGGTCGTACACGCTAAGTGTCTGGACTTAACGGGACGTATCGCCATGCCTGCCGGGAGGTTGAGAAGGAAATGTTATCCTTCATGCGGCAGACCAGAAGCGGATTTAATGAGCTTAGGGTCAATTTGTCGCATAGCGAATGACCTGTTCTCAGGTCACTCAATTTAACAGGATGAAGTTTTTAAGTGAGTCGCCAAAGCGCAAAAAATCAGCTTCTGGTCGACAGCAACTGGGCGAGCCCCAGCAACCCAAGATTTGGCATACCCCCTCGGTCCAGCCCCCGACACCGACACCGACACCAACTCCAATGGTGTTGAGATCGGGAACGGCTAAAGATTCGGCAATCGAATGTGCCGGGATAAAAGGGCAGCAGCTCCGCCAGTTTTATCCGTTGAGTTCGCAGCGGTGTCCCAATCTCTGACACTGCAGACTTAAAAAAATTTTTCAACAATCCCACAGGGCAAAAAAAGGGCCGGATCACTGGCTGAAGTCGATAATCCTACGTTACCAAAGACCCTCACCGCTATTCCACCATTAAAAACAATATTTGTTTCTCGGCTTGCCCCTGACCTCGCATCGGAAGATGTACTAGCTCATATACTGAGCAAAAAACAAGCCAAAAATGTGAAAATGGAGAAATTCATTTTTTCATACCCCAGAGACATCTCATCGTTTAAGATAATACTATAGGCTTGCGGAGCAAGCTCTCTCAATTGTATTCTGATAGTTTTTCGTTTGCATCTCAGGTGATTGTGTTTACCGAAACCTGGTTAAACCCGGAGATTCTCTGCTCCGTAATTTTTCCAGGTAACTACACAACCTATAGATTGGGCCGCCTTTCCCAGCGAGGAGGTAGAGTTTTAATTGCCGTTGACTCCAGCCTTATTTCCGAACTGGTTCAAATTGACGATCTCACAGGTATTGAATTTATCTATCATTTCCAGGTAGTTATATCTATATAACCTGTTCTTATGTTCCTCCATCTGCTGAAGAGTCTATTTATTCAAAACACCTTACGGCAATTCAGGCTGTTTCCAAGATGCTTTCAGATAGAGACCAACTAATAACTCTAGGAAACTTCAATATACCTGGAGCTCGTTGGTCATCAGATGGTACGTCCAATGTCCTCCAAACTGGGGCACAGCATGACCTCATCGATGGCTTAACCATGTCTTAAATTCTTTAAATCGCTTACTAGATCTGTGTTTCGTCTCCGATCCTGAAGGTGTAAACATAACAAGAGTTGATCCATTGACGCTTCTTGAAGACCCTAACCATCCTACTTTCGAAGTGACCATCGATTTGGGGACTGTCGTAAAGACCAAACCTGATCTGAGTCGCTGAGCTCCTCACGGGGCTCTTTGCAATCCCCTTCTGAAATTGTTTACCTTATCTCTAGAAACCTCAGAATTTCCCCTTATTTGGAAGGAATCATTTATCATTCCTGTCCACAAAAAAGGTAGCAAATCGGACGCCAGCAATTATAGAGGAATCTCTAAGTTGTCGGCAATTCCAAATCTTTTCGAGAATGTAATTACTCCTCACGTGCAGCATTTATGCAGATCCGTAATTTCTCCATGTCAGCATGGTTTTATAAGATCGACCACTACAAATCTCCTGGAACTCACCTCTTTCGTTATTAGAGGTTTTCAACGTAACTTTCATACCGACGTAATTAA